TTTCATTATAAGATTATAAATACTGTTACGACAGCGGGGGTCACGTGACGCTAGTAACACATCATATTCTCGAAGGTTCGTGAAGTCTCAAGAGGCTTCTAGATATGCGGTAGTCTTGTATGTATATATAAGCCGCCAAGAAGTGACGGCAAGAAGGTAATGAATGTGTAATTGAGTCAAGCAAGTGAGACGTTCGTTGTGAATTATAGTGTTTGTTATAGTGTGACTGTGGAAATCAAGTGTATTGCAAAGTTGTATTTAGAAAGAATAAACCAGTTTTATTTAAGAAAGTACTTGTATCGCTAAGTTTCTTCGGAAAGAAATTATATGGAAAATTAACTAAAAAAACGGAGGCATAACAATACTTTTATGTATCAGAAAATTTTCAAATTTCACATAAGAAATTTTTATAATGTCCAGATAGTTTACAAATGCTTCTTAGGAAGAAACTTTATATTTTATTTGTTATTTTCAGTAACGAAACTCTGTACGGGTTTGGTAGATTTGACCAATCTTGTAACCACCATAAAAATTTAAGAAATAAATATAACTTATGACTCTTTCATTGTAGAATGAATACAAATTATAACACAAGGATATAAATGTTTAGACTAAATAGCTTAAATCTTATAACATTATACATTTATATATATTTATTATTTTTATTAGTAGAGACCCGCAAAATATTTCCAGCCACATTAGTATCTTTATCGTAACAGTACTTCTTTAAATATAACATTTCTAGCACAATACAAACGATTTTTGTAATCATAGACAACGAAATGTGTAAATCCACTTGTATATAGGCTGTACTTTATAAAACTAACTTATGTTAGGCCTAAGTTCGATAAAGAGATAAATCAACACTGTAACCTGTGTAAGTTTTTTTTTACTTTAGTTTAGTTAGGACTGAACTTTACTGTACTTAATACTATTGATAAATAAACTTGTAATGTTATTCTGTGACCTAATGTCAAACCTTTTTTAAAAACTTTGATAAGTTTTTAATATTATTTTGTACAAAATGGTTTCCCCTTTTGTTGTTACTTCTTGTTTCATACAGCAATTGTAGCAACTTGATCACTGAGCTTTGCAGCTTTCTACAGCAGGTAGACTGTTGTCGAGTGAATAATGCGCATGCGTGGTTTTCTTTGAGAAACATTCTAACTACGCATGCTCATGCAGCAGGTTCTCGGTCAGAAAGCGTAATAGTCATACATACAAACAAGCAGAATAATAGTACAGATTATATTGACCTTTCAGCTTTGCTTGGCTAACAATACAGAAGTTACAATGACTTAGCACACATGCACTCATATCCATGTCTTGGCTGTGTTTTAGTAGACTAGTATTTTGTAAAATACAGTCACATAACAATTATTATACATAATATATATAAAAAGATAATTGCAATTTTGAAATAAGTTCTTAAACAT